ACGATCTGAGATATTTTCCTAACTGAAAAAACAAGGGCTACCAAAGGCGGAAATAAACTCTCAGGAATGTCCAAGGATGCCTAACATTTCTTCTGTAACTTAAAAGTGTCTCGAATTGCCTCTTCCTTTTTCTCCTCATCTTCCTTGACCCTCCTCAATGAAAGAAGGAAAAAGAAGAGAGAGAAAGAAAAAGAAGATAAAGCTAGGTTTAGCTTCTCAATCAAATTGAAGTTCTTAAGAAATGTCAGCGGATATGGCTGACAGAAAAGGAAATTATATCTGATGCTCAAGACCGGAGCTGCATAAAACTTACATCAATTGTTCTTTGTGATTCTGTCAATATCCGAATAATGGCATGATCAGATGTCATGTTGCAAGAGAGAACTATGTGCTCAAACCGTCCATCAACAGGTATAGCAGTCCTCACAATGGGTCTAATATTAGCAAAGCTGCAGCAGAGGCAAAAAGCAGACAAGAAAAAGCTATTGCATCAGTGACATCCTAAATATATCATTGCTTCGAAATGGTAAAAAGGGAGTACGTTAATAAGATATCTTTCTCTTTTCTTAGCATATTACAGGAAGCTAGTTGTGATTAAGGCTTAGCTATTAAAACAGCTGCTTTTGAGAAACAAAATGTATCCAAGTGATTGAAACAAAGAATTTTTCTTTTTCAGAGAGAAGAACATCTCCCTCAATGGGATCCTACTTATTGCTCTTCAACTTGGCTCCACCAAGTATAAAATACTGTTGCCAAGCTAAGTCCTTACATGATAATAATTCTAAATTTCTAATGTATACTAGTAAAAAAGAGAGCGCGTCAAATCCTGCAAAAGTTTTACATTTTACTTCACAAATCTGTGTAAATGGAATTTCATATACCTGAAGGGCTTCCTGACAATAATGTGATAAAGACGACCAGGAGCATAAAGGCGTCTTGGATCTTTTAGCATTTTCTCCTCCAGGGTGAATGTATCCTTCAGGCACATTATGCACATCAAGCACGGGAAACTATAAAGAAAAACACTGCTCGTCAGCCTATGGCATTGTCACACTAGTCTCTTGGTATCATAAATATATAACCTGATACAGTGTTGAACCAAATTTTTATGTATCAAAAAACTGAAAATAAACAGTGATAATAACTCGATTCATCAAGCCTCCTATCGGATGTTAATAAGAAACTTTTGGCTTCTTATTGAAGGAAGTTTATTTGATAAGGTTACTAGGAAACGTCCGAATGTATAAGTGGCAATCTTCAAATTGGCAAGAAACTCCTATTTTGCAGTCAGAAGGAAAAGATTTTGTCTAGGACTGTCATTGATTCTACCACACTAAAAGATTTTGCCTTCGAATTTTAGATTTTCTCCATTTTATGATCACAAAGTGCTAGGACAAAGGACCTTCCACCTCCAACCAAGAAGTTGGGGATTCGAGCTACCAAGGGAGCAAATAGGAAAAGGGTCACTATTGACTTGATCATGGGGTTTTGCGGTGTGGATTTTATCACATCGAAATTAAATTGAATATATGATTCCAAATAGACACGAGCAAATGGACACAGTTGCATTATTATCAAAACTATCACTTGGCGTAAGCTATTAATTACTCAAAGACTGTTTTATCTTGATTCATGCATATTTGATCACATACGATATATACATCAAAAGTCATACTGAAACGAGAGAAGACCTGCAATCTTTTACCAGAAAAGTGACTTGAAAGCATGTTCCAATGCTACAGTAGTCCGAGGTAAGAAATCGTCCTGGTTGGTCATGGAAAAGGTGTGTCAAAAAATGTGATGATAAATTCTAGGCGAACAGGTATGACTTTGGAAATAGATTATCCAACAAGACAAGAAATATACATCAGATATAAGACCTTGTTGATGATCAACAAAAGTATCCTTCCTAAATTCTGAATCAGACCTACCTTCGCAGAAACCGATTCCCAAGAACAAAATGTCTACCTCCTTCATATGTTTTGTGTATTTGTAGCTCTACCTACAATCCAGTAGATTTTGCTTCCAAATGACAGTTCATTTCCTTCAAACTAACATTTGCTTCACTAATTGCGGGGAAGCAACTCGTGTTGCTCAAAAATATGAGAGTTACTTCATCCCACAACTATGACACGAAACTTATCAAAAGATAATCACCATTCAAATGCTTCTTACGTGGCATATGTTTGAAGAGATATAGTTTATGGTGACGGTAAACTAACTAATAATTACATTTACAACATGCAATAAGCTCAGTCCTATTAACATTGCACTTCAAGGATAAAATCTAAAAGAAGAAAATAAACCGCCCCTTATCGTATGTTCTTTAGTAGAAGGATTACAAGGTCTAATATCAGAAAAAGAAAAACATCATCGAACTCACATATCTGGTTCACCTTTTCGGTCAGATAAGTCTAATAATACTAGTAAATCTGAAGCAACTAAGTGTATCAGACAACAAAGAGGACCTACACATGCTTACCTGAAGCACAATAGAATTTATGATATCCGCATATCTCACAGCCAAATTCAGCGAGACACACCTTGCAGGAGCAATTGCAAAGCATCTGATCCTTTTTCTCTCTAAGAACCCCAACTTTTCTCTGTTCTTCACAGCCAACATTGTCAATAGTGTCACCACCCCCGCCCCTAAAGAATGGCCAGCAAATGTCAAGATATAATCCGGATACCTCTCCACTAATTCCCTTAAAATTTGTGATTCTGCTTCCCAAACCCATTGAGCTGCCTTCAACAAACCATTATGAACATAACCCCCATCAAATTCAGCTTGCCCGAGTTTATCATCAAGTAGGACCAAAAAATCACTTTCCTTAGCCAAATTAAGACCCCTAATTGCTACAACTATATCGGCATTCTCATGATCAACATAGATCAAATAAGGAGATACCCTCCCTTGAGTATCTTCATGATTTTTCTTTACAATAACCCAATCAGGATCAATACCATACCCTCCAGGGGGAGTCCATATGGGGTTTCTAATATCATCCTCATATACAGCTATAATATATCGACAAAACCGTGGCACTGGCTCAAACTCACTAGCAATAGCAAGTCCCCAATTTTCACTCTCACGGCCAGCGGTATAAAGGAACTTCTTCCACACCCAACGAACGCAAGCTAAACAGTATACACATTCAATAACTGGAACACAACAGGCAAATGACATTGGTGCCTACCATACAGTCATCTTCTAACAGTTCAAGAATGACAATTACTTCTAATAAAATGAATCCTAACACTGTTTCTGCAAATGGGGGTCATTTCTTGTTGAGGTTCAACTTGTGGGGTATCAAGATAGTAAGTACTTGAGCTAAGTCAGTGATAAAAAATGATTAAATGAACCTTTACTAACTAAAGGTATCAAGATTGAATTTTTATTCATAAAATAACAAAGAAAGGGCATAAAATTACCACTACAAGAACTGGGCTTTGGAGAAACTGGGCAGGTAACAGTTGTAATCATCAATACAAACTTCAAAAAAGGAACATAATATAATATATGGTTTATAATTGAATAAAGAGAGAAAAGGGGTTGCTTTTGAAACTTGAAAAGAGAGAAATCACTGAAAATATAAGAGAAAAATGGGAGAAAAGGGACTAGCACACCTGCAACTACTTGTCAAACCCACCATTTTTAGTGGGGTCCCTTACAATTGAGTGAAAGAATATTTTAGGATTATGCTTAGATCCTTGTCTAATGGCACTGGTTTTCTAATTAATTAAGTACTACTAACTTTTTCTGGTTTGCAAGTAGAATAGCTTATGATGATGGCTTCTGCTTAGTTGTAATTTCTGTGGAAGATAGTTTCTTTAATTTTCGTACTATTTTCTCAGGTTTGGTAGAAGTTTCTTCTGAAGTGTGCAAAAAACAAAAAACAAAAGAAAAGGGAAAGGGGGTAGTTTCTTGTGAATTATTGCCATCTGTTAACTTTTGTCATACTTCTAGTTTTGTATTGTAGCAAATATTTCTACTTTAATTTTGATAAAAATAGAAGTTGTCATGTGCATGCATTCCTTTCTTTTTGGTAATATTGTACTCCGGAGTTTTTGGTCAATATTGTCACTTATCTTTGAGATAGGTCTATTTTGGTCCCTTAAATATACCCTTAAACATATTTAGTCCCTTAAGTATGTTAAACTGAAGCATTTTTATTCTCACTCACACAATGTGTTCAAAAACTAACGGTGTTACCCAACTCTGATTCATGAAGCAAATCTTCTGCCCTGAATCAAAACGTTTCACTTTTTTCCTCTCCTTTTATTGGATAACGCAAATTATCACTTAATTCCTTATTTTTAAATAATATCTTCTAAAATTTTGACCTTAAAAATATCCCCTTCTGTGCCAGTTTCAATGACATTGTATAGCCGCTGTAAAAATAATAGCCGAAAAAATATATAAAATAATANTTTATGGCACGGCCTAAAAGTGATAATACAACATCGTTATTCTTTTGCTTCAATAATATGCCTAGAAGTGATCCTGACAGCTCTTTTTTTTTTAAATTTTAACTTTTATTTTTGGAAAAATCAACCGAAATTTTCAAATGTATATATATATATATTGGTGATACTAATATTTGCTAATATTGTCTCCCTTTACTTTGCATCTTTCTTCTGGATTTCATGGTGTTCCTATTTATCCTATGATTGTTGTTGTGATACTAATATTGTCTCCCTTTTTGCTCCTTTTGTCTTTTTATTTTTTGAGCCGAGGGTCTTTCGGAAACAGCCTCTCTACTCCTTCGGGGTAGGGGTAAGGTCTGCGTACACACTACCCTCCTCAGACCCCATTAGTGGGATTTTACTGGGCTATTGTTGTATATATACAAAAAAAAGTATAAATTTTATATATTTTTTCAGCTATTATTTTTACAGGGGCTATACAGTGTCATTTTCTCATTGAAAACTAGCACAGAAGGGGATATTTTCAAGGTTAAAATTTTAGAAGACATTATCTAAAAATGAGGAATTAAAGTGATAATTTGCGTTATCCAATAAAAGGAGAGGAAACATTTTGCTTCAGAGCAGAAGATTTGCTTCGTGAATCAGAGTTGGGTAACACCGTTAGTTTTTGAATATATTATGTCAGTGAGACTAAAGGTGCTCCACTTTAGCATACTTAGTGGACTAAATATGCTCAGGGTTATATTTGAGGGACTAAAATAAACCTACCCTCAAAGATAAGGAACAATATTGGTCAAAAACTCCCTTAATTCGAATAGAACGAACCATAAAAGAAGCGGGTAGTATTATGTGATAACGTGGATATTCTTACACTAATGTTAGCAAAATTATTAAGTTTTTTTTGACTTTTAACTTTTATTAGGATAAGAAATGACATGTAATTAGTAAGCAACATAAACCATAAATGAGTGTTCTCTTTAGAGGTAAATACTTATTCAGATATTTATATCGATCCAATAAATACAGAATACATTATTGTGCCAATTTATTTTCTTACAAATCAATTCAAAATCTTTTTTCTCTTTGAGGCATTTTAATTTCAAATGACTTCTTCAAAACCATTACTATCTTCTCATTCCTTGATAAATAATGGTGCATACGGTAAAAACCGGTTAGTCCTTTGTACGAACTAGTTTAAATGGTAATACATTGGATCAGAGAAGCGTCTTTATAATATCAGGTTGAGGTCCGAAGTCAGGTCACCAAGCTTCGAGCCCGAAGGACCGATCAACGTCGAGCTCGATGTTATTATCAAGATCGAATCCAAGTCGAACTATGATGCAAAGTAAAGTTATCGAGCTTATGATTCAGAAACCGACCAACATTGTCCCCGAATCAATACAGGGATCTGATTCAGAATCGAGCTCGAGTCAAGATCGAGAGCTCGAGTCAAGACCAGAAACTCGAGTCAATATCGAGCTCGCAGACAAGAGCCGTTGCAAACCCACTAGAGGAGAGAATCCTGACAGGAATTTTGGAAAAGCTAAATTATCATGGGTCTCCCACTATGTATTTTTAATTATATCTAAAAGTAGGATCCTCCACTATAAAGATGATGGCTACATTTCTGTAAAGGATAGTTTTTTGCTTACATTGTAATTCAAGCACCATATTCTCCTATATTCAAGAGTGATTCTGTTAAGCTTCCTAAATTGATTTATCTTGCTTAGTCCTAAAAATCATATTTTTTCCAACCTTGCTTATTTTGCATTTTTTGCAATCCATATTGGATATTTTTATCTATCCTTACGATTTGTATTAAGCTATATCACATATCCTTAGAACTACGTAAAAATTTAACTCTATCCGTTTTTCGGGTAAACAGTTTGGCGCCCACTGTGGGGCTAAGGATAACAGTGGTTATTTGATACGAATCTACAAAAATACACCGTTTTGCGCTTATTGTCTTGGATTTCGGATTAGCAACGACCAACTATCAATCAAATGGCCTTACCTATCGACAACGAAGTTGGTCTTCAAGATGAGAACAACAACTTGACACCCAGTACCGAAAGACCACTCGTCAACGTCGTTGGAGCTCAAATCAAAGTGTCGATAGACATCAATTCGCATGTGGCCATTGAGGCGAACCTACATTCTAAACCTGAAAATAGCATTCATGGTGGCACTCGGTCTGCAGCTCGAGATATCCATAACATCGAGGAAAACGGCGTCAGCTTGCGTATGATTTTCGAAATGTTGCAAGCTCAACAGGCAGCAATAGCTCAGTTGCAGAGTCAAACCCAGATACCGAGTAGACCGGAGCCCAGTCAACCCAGAGAAATCACCCCTACAACGGAACCAGCTATAGTGAAATCAAATGAGCAGGAGTCGGGGACTAATCCTGAAATTGCTAAGATGTTCGAAAAACTGACCAAGCGAATAGAATCAGGAGAAAGGAGGATCGAAGCAAACGACAAAAAAGTGGAAACACACAACTCTAGGGTTGATCAGATCCCGGGGGCACCACCAATATTGAAGGGCTTAGATTCCAAAAACTTCATACAAAAATCTTCCCCCCAAGCGCGACTCCTAAATTGATCCCAAAGAAGTTCCGCATGCCCGAGATTCCTAAATATAACGGAACTACCGACCCTAACGAACATGTCACCTCATACACATGTGCCATCAAAGGGAACGATCTAGAGTATGATGAGATCGAATCTGTATTACTGAAAAAATTTGGTAAAACCCTGTCAAAGGGAGCAATGATATGGTATCATAATTTGCCACCTAATTCTATCGATTCTTTTGCTATGCTTGCGGATTCCTTCGTAAAAGCACACGTCGGGGGTCATAAAAGTCGAGACCAGGAAGTCGGACATGTTTAAAGTAAGACAAAGGGATAACGAGATGCTAAGAGAATTCGTGTCTCGTTTTCAAATGGAACGAATGGATCTACCCTCAGTCACAGACGATTGGGTTGTTCGGGCTTTCACTCAAGGTTTGAACGAACGAAGTTCGACGGCTTCACGGTAGTTGAAGCATAACCTGATTGAGTACCCAGCTATCACTTGGGCCGACGTACACAATCAGTACTAATAAAAAATTAGAGTCGAAGATGATCAGTTGGGGTCTGAACCCGCTGCTCTAAGGGATATCAATCGAGAATAAGGTCCGATCAGGGATCGATACCGATCGTACAACGAAAACCACAGGATCAATGAATCGATACGTAACACCGGACAAAGCAACAAAATAAGTGATCGAGGTCAAGTGTCTCGGGGGATGATAAACAGAGGTGGGTTTGATAGGCCTACCGGATCTAAGGAAGCACCTCGGCTATCGAAGTATAACTTCAGCGTTGATGCATCCGCCATCGTGTCGGCTATCGGACGCATCAAAGACACTAAATGGCTTCGACCCATGCAGACCGATCCTTCCCAAAGGAATCCCAATCAAATGTGTGAATATCATGGCACCCATGGCCACATAACGGAAGATTGCAGACAACTAAGAGAGGATGTAGCCCGGTTATTCAATAAAGGGCACCTTCGAGAATTTTTAAGCGACAGGGCGAAGAACCATTTCAAAAACAGGGATTTCGGCAAGCAAAACGAACAAGAAGAACCACAACACATCATCCACATGATCATCGGCGGGGTCGATACCCCTCAAGGGCCGGTGCTTAAACGCACTAAGACATCGATTATGAGAGAAAAGCGATCTCGAACTCAGGATTACGCACCCATAGGAACTTTGTCCTTCAATGATGATGATGCAGAAGGAGTCATACAACCTCATAACGATGCACTGGTAATATCCGTACTTATGAATAAAACCAAAGTTAAGCGTGTGTTAATTGATCCAGGTAGCTCGGCCAACATCATTAGATCGAAGGTTGTAGAACAGCTCGGTCTACAGGACCAGGTCGTACCCGCAACCCTGGTTCTAAACGGATTCAATATGGTATGTGAAACCACCAAAGGCGAGATAATTTTGCTGATAAACGTGGCCGGAACCATCCAGGAAACGAGGTTCCAGGTAATCGAAGGCGACATGAGGTACAACACCCTTTTTGGGAGGCCATGGATCCACAACATGAGAGTTGTACCTTCGACCCTACACCAAGTTCTTAAATTCCCAACATCGGGGGGAGTCAAAACAGTGTACGGAGAACAACCGGCTGCGATAGAAATGTTTGTCATCGAAGAAACAATTCCGATACCCTCACCCTCATCAACAAAGGGATCGAACTCAAAAGGGGAACAAGATGCCAAATAGCAATTACAGACGTTAGCTTCAACCCAACCAGAAAATCAAAAGATTGAGGTAGATGATGATCAAAGGATCCCTCGATCCTTCGTGGTTCCCGATGATTCCGACGCTACCCAATCAACGATTGAAGAATTGGAGCAAGTCGTACTAATCGAACATT